TGCCAGCGTTTTCGGCAGTATTGGAGCAATTTCCCATACTGGTATCGGAATCGGAACAACTCTAGACAGAATGAGGTCTGAGAGAAGTTACAAGCTGCTTTTGAGCTGAAGATTGTCTGTTTACATTATACAACAGTCCCGTCACTCTGAATTAGAAATCGTTTTAAATTCAGTCAAATGTTTACAATGCCAAAAGCAATTTTTACTCAATGATGTTATATATCATGATGATATATAACAATATATGATACTTTATATAGGTCAGACTGTCACTTTATGTATTGTGTTTCTGGCTGTTTTAAAAGTGAAATCTGCTGTTTGGCTCAGTAGAAACATGGTCACTGGGCATTAACCACGAATTCAGATGAGTGAATGAGATGCAGTGCTTCTTAGTGTGTCAGCCTTTAAAGAGGCCCAATTATGCTTCCCCTTCTTTTCAGTGATCTATCAAGTGTTCATTTTTCTAATAAGTTTGGTTTTAGTTACTTATTTGAAGCTATCTAAAGGGGGTTTCACGTCATGATTGACAGCTGAGCCCTGCTCACGATTGTGTCAATACCAATGCGCCAGCCCTGATCACTACTGCGCAGACTCTGGCTCTGAAGGGCGAAAGATGGCGGCAGTCTTAACCGGGATAATTTGGCATGGTTTTTGTATAGTGGGAGGAAGTGGAGACACAACGCCCATCTTTAATATGTTGATGAGACACGCCCATCCACCCGCTCAGTCCATTTCAAGTTTTTGTATGTCTTGCAGAAAGTGCGTTTTTGGTTTTAAAGGAAAGTTGCATGTTTTTTGGTTTTCTCTCCAGCTTCTCAGCCTCAACTCTCAGGAGTTTACTGATGAACACAGCTCTACCTGTTGTTGTTGTTGATGTTAGCGTTTGGCTAATTTAGCCAAAGCAAAGTTACTCTAGTGCAAGAATGAGCATGGAAATTAGCATAATGGGTCCCCTTTACACTTTATTTGAAATAGACCATAAGTTTAAGTAAGTTTGAACCTCTTGTATATGCTGCAGGTTCTAATGTGTGTGTGTGTCTGTGTGTGTTTATCTCCAGGAAAGAGATAGCAGAGCTACGAGGAGAGCTGGATGAGGAGAGACTAAAGCGCGTAGCCCTGCAGGTAACATCGACCCCCATGGCAGCACATGCTGAGCTGTCAACATTCATTACTCTCATTAGTTTAGCCAAGTATTGATGCTGTCTGTTCACACATGCATACCAGAACAAGCGCAATGACTGGCGTGCACGGTTAACCCAACGCAGGACAGACAGGTACATACAGTCTGGAACTTCTGGCCGCTGACCAGCAGTGAGTGCAGCAGTCAGTATAGACGCAGACAACTGCCCTAATAAAGTGATAATAGGGTTTCTTCTCACAGCTGTAGGGGACGACTTTGGGCTAGAAACTGTATCCATGTGTCATGTGATCTTCATTAAGTTCAGGGTCAAGTTAATCTTGTCATTGATTGACTCATTAACACTTAAACACTGAACACTGGTAGTTCATGAATTTGCTTTGGTGCCCTCAGAAAATGCCTTATATTGGCCTGTATTCTGGTCCCAGGCACTCAGCCCAGAGTGAAACGTAGCATTTGGAAACATCTTGGTGAACTTGTGGAGCAAAACATATAACAGGCAGCTTCAGTGTCCCTGGTTCAGTGCAGGCAGCAGGTTTTTGTTAATCACCACCCCCTAACTCTCCCTGTGGTTCTTGTCCATCTGTCACTTACCAAATAAAGCCCAAAGATGTTTTGGAGTTTTCGACCCTTTCAATCTTCATGAGCAGATGAAGCCTGCCAAGCTGTTATGGAAATGTAGAGTCTAAACACTTAGTAAGTCTAACTAATTGAAGGTTCCCTCTTGAATTTTTATCTTTTCAGTGTTACTCACCAAAACACTCTGTGTGCCCCCAGCATTTACATGTAAATCCTAATGCATGAGATAAACACACCGACCCACACAGAAAAACAGCTCCATAGCACTGCTAGAGTAACCTCTAGGTCTCTGAAGGACCTTTCTAAAGTAAAAAATAACCCTGATGATTTCAGCTGTGGGGTTTGAGAGAAGTTGGCATTCAGGAGGCAGAGAGGTTCTAATGAAGCACCGTGGGGATTGTAGGATCTAGCTTATTTATTTTATTTTTAAGTTGTTGTTGTTTTTTTGTTT